TATTGTTTCTTAAGTTTCTGGTCCATCAAACTGAAAACCAATATACTATTTTAAGAAACTGAACTGCCTTTAAAACCTGCTCCCCTCAATCAATCCAGCACAACATTGCCTGACCGGCGCTTACACGTCACCTCGTCATATCTCTTGACTGATTCCCGTTCTAAGAAGGAACGGAAGGTAGGACCAATTATCTTGCTCCTCTTTTTACGATTTATTTATTGCTCTTACTCTGATGTGTAGAAGTCTAAGGTGCGAAATTTTCCGGATCTAGGATAATCAGCGGAGTTTTGCATGAATTTTAGAGCTCTAACAACTCTAATTTGAGGTCACACGGTGATGTAGGACACGTAGCTGTTAGCTATTTTTGCATAGTTTGCCTATTACCATGATTCATTTTTATTTTCATAAACTTGAGTGAAATACGAAAATTACTGCAAAAAATAATCAGAAAACATATACTGACACCGGGGGAGGGTGGTTACTCTTGGTAAATCTTTAGGTCGTATATAAATTGACGTCAAGGAAAATCAAACTTGAGCTGTCTTGGTTACCTTCAATGACTACAGCTTTCAAATATTGGGCCGACGCTTGTCTCAACCCTACGAACGGCCCTTACATCTGAGGACACCGAAGATTCGAGCAAATCAAAATCGGCATGTTTTGATAAGATCTCCGTTCGCCTTGAACTCTTGCACTGACTTGATCTCTTCTTCTCTTTGTTGAATTTTCAATCATTCTATGGTCTGGAGTTGTTATATCCGTGCATCTATTCACTCATTTACACACACCCACGCCCGCTTCCGACGATTGTAACTAGTGAATATACATCGTTTGCCACTGCAAAAACAAAAACGTGTAAGTTAAGTTAATTTATTTTATTTGTAATCAGTCATATCTGGCAGAGAAAAGAGAGGGGCAGCACACTTTGATGTGATCGCCGACATCAAATCGATCACACCCACTGTATATTGTCAGGAGCCGATTAAACTTGTTGGCCAATTTCCCTCTTTCGTCGCCACTTTTTTTACTACAGAAATATGCGGACGTTCTCGAAAACAATTAATTAAAATTAATTTCGCGGGAAAGCCTGTTTTAAAAATAATTCTTTACGGGAAAGGGTTGACTCAAGGGTACAGCACGTATGGAGGCTCCAAGTAATCGGCTCCTGATGTGGTTTTAGAAGCTATGCCCTTATGGATAATGGATTTCCAAACAACTGCCGCAACTGAACTATATTCTATTAGAAAACCTCACATTACAAGAGTTCTGTATATTTCCAAATCTCTCGCTAATTATTGGAAAGGACATAGAAGGACATTATTAGTTGTCTCGTAAGATTTTCTTTATATCGATTATGCAATAGACATTGTTGCAATGAATTTTATTTTAATAGACTCAACCACAAGGCGTGTTAAATTAGTCCGGGCTCTTGCTTTTTCGCTTCTTATTAATTAAACACGCCTTGTAGGGGTGTTTGTCAATGCAATTTTCGAGCAAGCGTGATGAGTTTAAGGCTTATGTTTTCAATTTATGCCGTTTTATAATTTGTTTTGCACATTCATAAAGAATTCATAAAGAGTTTTAGCACGAAGCCTGAAGTTTCGCCCGGGTTGCTCTAACATATTAATAATTTTCTCAATGGAATAAGTGCCTGAAGTCCAATTATGTTGTTTGCAAGGCAAAATTAAGTAGAATCGAGTCACTTTAAAGTTGCAAACACAATTCAGGCGATAATTCTGGGTTTTGCCTGATATTTCAATGTCACATAGTAGCCTGTCGTCACTCTACAATGCCTTTCATAGAGCACATGCAAAGAATATGAGGATGATTATACCTAGAAAAGTGCTTTTTTTACCAAACCAGCTCGCCGACAAAGAACATGCATGTATGAGAGAATCGTGAGAGACATTTCACTGATCTTTAACGAATTTAAAGATCCTCCTTTGTGATTTCTGTGCAAGTTATGCAATAGTCTGCAAAACAGTCCGTATTTTTGCGTATTCAAGTACGCGCAAGCAGTCAAACAAAAGGTCCGGGACGAGGCTGAAAACACGCCCTAGGGGCGTGTGATGCTCGCGCGCTTCGCGCGCGCAAGACTCTTACGCCACGCTTTACCGATTTCTTTACTGATTTTGAGGAAAAAACCGACTGTTTTGCAGTCTATTTATGTAATGAGTAAAATGTAATGGCGCGAGGATGGTTCTGAGTCCATGTCTGTACTTATTCAGAAAGGAAAAAAACCATGAAGGATGAGAATTAAAAATCAAAGAGCCTTTTTTTCATGTATTGTTATTGGGGATTTTGGGCGCGAGAGAAACGCGACCGGCACGCAAGGAGGGAGTGAGGGAAACCCCTGCAAGGAGGCCATTGACCTCTCCATCCCGCCTACTATTTATGTATGCAAAAACATCGCAAATGTGAATGACTAGCTGTCAAATAAGTCTAGCCACGATCACTTATTTTCACTATTAAAAGGTTTCATAAGATCTATTCCACAATCTGAAATCATACTTTCATACCAATTTGTTAAACCCCTCCCTGACTAGTCGTTTGTTACTCGCGACATCTTTGCGGTCAGTTTCTGTCCCCCGTTTCTGTCTGTAGTGAGTAAGGAGAAATTCGTCAATTAGGAGCCGGAAAGAACTGCTTGCAACGTCTTTACGATGTTGAAATTTTTTTAACTTCGATTGCAGAATAAATCAGGAAAACACAGCTGTCCAAAATATAGCAATCACAGAGTTTTCTCAGCTGGCGCCGAGAAAAACAAGTTCAATCTAAAAATAAAACCAATATTTGTGGTTTACCCCAATGTTTTGATTAACCTGCGTCTGCTACGTGACTCAATACACTGAAATATCATGTCCTGGCTAAAGCCTTTCTCATAAAACAAAATCAGGTAAGATAACTTACAGCTTTTTTGTGATATGCAGAACCAAAACAAGCAGATGTTTTCCTCTACTTTTTTTTAAATGGCTGTTTTTGAACTCTTGCAAATTGTAAATTGCTACTCTTGGCAGTGCTTTTAAATTTGCTTGTTTCTATCATGGTCTCCACAATTGCTCGTGATTTTATCGATCTTAGAAAAAAAAAAACAGCGTATTCACGGACCGCAGCTGCCCGACGTTAAACCGTGATCGAATTGGGGATCAAATTTGAACGCTCTTGCTGACAGTCTGCAACACAGTTGTTTGTTTTTCCCCCGAAATCCGGGTTTAGCAAGTCATCTTACTTTCCTTTTCACACTCGCTCCAGAACTTTCGTTTGACTGCTCGCATTCTGAACCAGAGTGTGTCAGTTGCTCGGCAACACAGTTGTTTGCTTTTCCCTCAAAATCAGTTTTACAAGCCATCTTACTTTCCGTTTTCACACTCCAGAACTTTCGTTCTGAACCCACAATGCGAGCTGTTCGGCAGTTTATCTAGCCAGTGCTCACAGTCCCCTATTTTTTCGTGAAATTGTTTAATTAGATATACCGCGTCTTACCCGGCTCGACTGGTCACAGTCCTCTATTTTTCCGTAAGATCGTCGAGATCGGGCGCTGGTTACAGGCTGCCATGTTGCATGAGTGTCAAAACTACTTTGGGTGCGGGTGGCGGTTTGAGAGGAAGCGAGAAAAATAGGGGGACTGTAATAACATCAATGCAGCTCGCGTTCAGGAGGCGTGACAGGAATTTCACGCCTTTACCATTCGTTAAGTAAGAAACTCCGCTGGCCATGAAAAACATGCCAGACACATTTACCATCGATTTCAGCGTGCTTTATACAAATATCTTCTTCCGAAACAGTGATTTTATAATGACTCGCTTCCTTTCAAACCGCCTTCCGCCCCCTAAGTAGTTTTGACACTCATTCAAGATTGCGGCCCGTAACGCAAAGCGCTCGATCTCGATGATCTAACGGAAAAAAGAATAGAGGACTGTGAACGGTCTACAGTTTATCTTGCAAGAAGAAGAAGCAGACTCATGCATGCAGACTAAAAACAGCATAGAAGAGAACCACAGGAGAGCTCGCTTGGAGGCTAAAAACAGCAAGGCGCAGCGAATGGAACAAAGTTATTTTTTCCCTTGTTTTGTTAGACAAATATTTTAATGCAGACACTCAGATCCCTGCATAACATATGCGTATTGTTAATGGAAACCACCGAATGCGAAAACAAAGGGAAAACTTGGCCACCCAAATTACTACTTTGCAGCGTTTGGATAGTCTGTTCTCAATTCACAATTGCACCAATCACCAACAAGCCAAACCTCCGCAGGGCAGCGAACGTTCTTTACATGTTTATACAGCCTATCTCGTTACATGAGTTGCGAATTTGATAAAAATAATGAAAGGGAATTTCAGGTCAAGACGCCACACAGTTCTGCTTTTTTCAATTGCTCGTTTCTATACACTGCCCTGCTGCATGAACTACTGCGAATGTTCGCTGCATGATCTCATGCCCGAAAATTAATAAAACCACCATTTTGTAAAACAGCTTAGCTTGTGTCAATTCAAAGAGACTGGCTCGCTTTAAACGACTAAGTTTTTCCTGCCTCAAGTAGTTCAAAGGGGCACAATCACGACCCTTGCATGCTCATTGAGTTCTTCTTACTCAGACAAATGTTTGCACGGTCCGCCATATTAAATTTTAAAGGTATCAGCAAAACTTTCTTCTAGGTCTGAGAGGTTTACATAAATCGAAAAAATGATTTATTGCCTATAGCTTCAGAAGAAAGGGAAAGTGGACCTGACTCGAATTAAGTACATACAATGACCTCAACGTTTTAAGTTAAAGTGGTAAAAATGTCGCTTCAGTTAGTCACGTGATGCGACACGTGACCATTTTCCTGAAAATCGTAAACAATTGATAAATTGTTGAAGGGTTTTAAGGGAAGAAATCAAGGAGTAATATTTTTCTGATTCATATTAAATATTTCTAGCGCTTTACGATTGGAATGACAATCCAACTTCAACTTTAACATCAACTTTATTTAAATTTGGAAATATAACAAAAAATATATTGGGACTGGCCTGCAGTTAGCGAGGCTATTCGTGGCAGGCAAGACTACATAATTTAATTTACTACAAACTAGACAAATACAAAGAAATTAGACGTTATATAAGTATATATATTTTACAGTAAATAAATACTATTCTACTTAAAACAAGGACAATATTAAACTGAAATTTAAATTTAAAAAATAAAATGAAAATAAAGGATAAGAGAATTACTTTTTCATTTTCACAATAATCGTGTCCACATCAATATAGGAGTCTTCAATTTGAAGGATAACGAGTAGTATTGCTTTTAGTGGTCTTTTAAAAGCTGTTTTCGGTCTTTCTTTAAGAATTTGAGGTATCCCATTCCAAACTTTGACCCCAACACGCGAAAAAGCATTTCGTTTGACATTGAGTCGAGATTCTTTAGTATGAAAATGTGCAAAGGGTGAGGAACGTGTATTGTAAGTATGAACACTAGAAATTCGAGGGAAAAGTTTCAAAATATTATCCGGAGCAGCGTTTTTATTTACATCATACATAAGACTACAAACGGCTTCATAATATAGAGACTGTAAAGGTAGAACTTTTGCATCGACAAAAAAAGGTATTGCGTGGTCGTTTGTTTGAGCAAAAAAATTTAAACGCAGAGCGTGTTTTTGAAGGACAAGAATTTGGTCAAGGAAAGTTTTACACGCGTTGCCCCAAGAGATAAGACCGTAAGTTAGATAAGGTGTAATTAGTGACTGATAAATATTTAGGAGGGTGCAACTGAGAACAATATGTCTTAATCTCGCAATTAGCCCAATTGTTTTACTTATTTGGTGTGCAACAGAGTGAATATGGGTCTTCCAAGATAGATTTTCATCGATTAACTGTCCAAGATATTTAATAAAGTTTTTGCGTTCAAGGGTAACCTTTTTATGCGACTTTCATTGTTAAAAACATTAACCTGGGGATCATAGCTGAGTTTTTTTGCTATGGACGAAAAATTACATGGTTTGACATTTTAATATTCAGAGAACGTTTATTTGAAGTCAGCCAGTTATACAAGTTGTGTAATTCTGCATTTACTGTTAGTTCCAGTGTCTTTAAATCTTTATGAGCATAAAGAGCTTTAGTGTCGTCAGCAAAAAGGAAAAATTGGAGTTTGCTCGAACAATATTGGATGTCATTTATATAAAACAAGAAGAAAGGTGGAACTAGGACAGATCCTTGGGGTACGCCGCAATTGATATTTACTTTACTAGATATATGAGAGCCAATTTCAATAGTTTGTGTGCGATTTGATAAATAAGAGGAAAACACGGAAGTCATAATAATTTAGTTTATCAAGTAAAATAGTATGATTCACAGTGTCAAAGGCTTTTTTTAAGTCAATAAAAACGCCACATGAAAAGAGTTTTTTGTCCGTATTGGTTTGTATAGTTTCTACCATATCAAGAATAGCATGTTGGGTTGAGTGAGCTTGACGAAAACCATATTGAGAGGAATGTAATAGGCTGTGCTTTTCAATAAAGTCTCTCATTCTGTCGTACATAATTTTTTCGAAGATTCTATCGAAATTTTATAATAATGAAATTGGCCCATAATTAGAAGTGTCAGTCTCGTCGTCAGCTTTGAAGATAGGTATAATTTTTGTTATTTTAAGTTTTGGGGGGCAGGCCTCAAGAGAGACAGATGTGTTGAGAATGTCTGAAACAACTGGAGATATGACTTCACTTGAGTATTTAAGAAGTTGAGTAGGACTGGAGTATAAGCCATGCGATTTGCTGTTGGTATAGATAGAATTTGAAATTGAATTTCGGGTGGAGGTACAAGTTTGAAGAAAAACGAAAGTTCTGGCGAACTGCACTTTCTTAGGAACTCTGTGAAAGGGGCGCTCTGCCGGTGGTAATTTGCTTGCTAAGATGTCGCCAACATTTGAAAAATGTTTGTTTAAGATATTAGGTATACGCGAGGAATCATTAGTAAGGTTATTGTTGTTATCTGGGTCTTTTAATTTACCAACAGATTTACACTTTCTTTTGCAGCGATTTAATAATTCATTTATGCCTTGCTATCCATTTCGTTTCTATTAGAAAATTATGATTGCCAAAGTCGTTGCAAGGGCGAAAATTTCTGTTGGCGAGAACTTCTTTGGAACCTCTAATTTGATAGGTTCTTGTTAGCCCGAAGCTCTATTGTTTCAGAGTTGGGGTTCATTGTTAGTTTTGTTTGGGTTAGGGTTATCTATTGTTCTCTAAACCAATCCTGTGCGAAGTTCTTAGAGCTTCCGGCGCAAGCGAAAGTTTAGTCTTAAATAATTCAAAACTTTAATTTCACACTTCGAGTCATTCATTGCAAACGTAGAAAATAAAATATGTTTTTCTCTACCAGAAACGCCAATTATTAAGCCATCCAAGGTAAATTCGCCACCAATTCCCCACTCTCCTTCATTTTAAAATTTTGACCACGTGACTTGTCACGTGACCATAAATATACGTTAAGGCAAAGAAAGCCTCACGACTTACATTTGGCGAA